AAACTATAACATTTCTAAAGCCGAAAGTGTCCAATGCGTTGTTTATGCTTCATCCGATTCACGGACCGCCTTCATATGGTACACAAGCCTTTTGTTCATAAAGGCTTCGCACCAAGTAGTAACTGCCCAGAATCTGATTTGCCGGAAACTAAATTTAGACGTGTCATAAATTGATTTCAGCGATGATACCCATATAAGCACTCAAGTAGTCTAGTTTGGCCAACGTAAGTTTTTGATTACTCATCATCAGGCAATTACAATTATATGAGACAGGGCAGTGATTAAATGTTGAAGCTCCAATCAACAGGTAGTAAGGAGATGTTCAGCGATCAAGGGGTCAGCTTCTAGTCCTATCAAGGATCAGAGACGGAGGAAAGTGGTCCCAAAGTTAATTCATGTTACTGCGTCGTCGCTGTAACGCGACGCAGTGGGTTTGAAGACGCATGCTAAGTTAGTCTTGGACCAAGCGAACCTTAATCGTCTTCCGACCCCTTGATCTCTGCACATCCTCTCCCACGTTTTTGCTGTTTATTGGATGTTTAAACGTTTGTCACTGTACCGCCCCCTCCCCCCCATCATATTATTTTAATGTTCTGACAATTAATAATCAAAAACGTACGTTCGCCAACCTTGACTATTTGAATAAAGTAATTTGTCTCTCACGTTGTAAAATCTTCGGTAATGAGTTTGTGCGCATATAATACTCTCTGGTGGTTGCCTACTTTAGGAAGTATGCTTTGGGTAACTTACATAACACCCGATGTCAGCTAAACCCACCGCTTTTTGCGGTCTGTTCGGCGCAATAACTCATTACTTTTTATTGTCATTACAAGATCCACCTGACGTCAGCAGTTGCGTCTTCGACGGAGATATGATTTGCTCCTTCATGCAACCCTCTCCCTCATCCATCGCCTACTTTTACGATTTTCATCATCCCTTGCAAACCCCTTACGCTAACCTGTGATGGTCTCCGGTCTGTGCCGACGATCAGGAATGTGTAATTTTTTTGGAACACCCTGCCAAACGTTGTTTCTATCCCGCAGAACGATGTGAGCAGTCACTTTTTCAATATGTACTAAACCCACCAACTTTATTTTTGGCACCGCTGTGCTTGGCTGCATCTCCCTCCTCATATTCCATATTTAACTTTGGATAAGTGCTATGTTTTGTATACATCTACTCAAATCTAAATAATCACATGAATGCTATCCTTTGCCATCAATTATGAACGCTCTCGTCTAACCAGCTTGTCAGTCTGATTCTCTCTGCCTCTGTCATTTAGGGTATTTATTTCGACTACTGTTTCTTTCTGTAGATAATACCGACTTGATAATAAATGTTTTTGCATCCTTCTTTGTGGTATACTACGTCTGCAGAGAAACGACGAAATGGAAGTTGGTGGGACCTAATAGCAACATGCACTCTACTTGCAACGACCATAATACTTATTGACCAAACCCCAATTTCAGGGTGTGATGATGATTGCCTTCATTATTGTTGACTACTAGCTTACCTTCGAGTGAAAATAAACCGACGTACACGCTACCCCTGCAAAGTGAAAGTCATACGGCTCGAAGTTAACCGTCGGCACGTCTTCAGCTAGCCACCTCGACATCCTCCTAAACAGGAGTTAATATTCTAGAGTACTCGTTGTGGCTGCGACCATGACTGATCCGGCCTCAATGATGTCCCCCTCCATTCTCTTCGCCAGCGCCGGAGACCGAATACAGAAGGTCCAATAACCACTCCAATGTCTTGACGGACTGAGTTGAGCCAGGTTTGGAGCTGACCCCCTCTTCGAAGTTTCTAATTAGGTAACGGTTTCGGGTCGAGGGCATTAACACTGAGCTCGTGAGGTTGACGACGAAGAACGTGCCAAAACCACATCAGTCTTTCTTGAATGGCCTGGGATATCTTTACGATGTACACGGTATACGCGGAGCCTTGTAGTAATCGAAATATCGCGTCGGGTCCATAGGCACTTGCCAAGGCTGGAGAAAACTGGTCGATCTTTGCCCATCCGGGAGACAATATCATCTTTACTCCGTTCAATCGGCAACAACCTCGCTCCGAGGTATTTTAAACTGTCTACTTCTTTAAATCGACAGCTATTAATTTCAAAGGGTGTCTTCTCTAGGGCAGGGATGCAGCATGAGAACACTTTGGTCTTCTCAGCGTTTATGGACAAACGGACCGATTTAGCGACCTCGTTCACCCGTGAAACCATAGATAGTAGATCGCCAAAGCTTAAAGCTATTAAGGCGATATCATCGACGTAGTCGAGATCAGTTAAGCTGCATCCAGGTGAAAGCGCAATACCGTTCTCTTTGCGTAAGGCCTTTCCGAGAATCTAGTTAGTGACGTAGCTAAATAGGATGAGCGACAGGACACAACCTTGTCGAACGCCGGGCCGGATAATGAAGTGTTCTGAAAGGTTGTTATGGACCAGAACCTTTGCGGTGGTGGAGCGGTAGGATATCTTGATCAAGGCGATTATTGTTGATAGTACACCATCTAATTACAATATTTGCCATAGGGATTCCCGGTCGACGGAATCGAACGCAGCGGCAAAGTCAACAAAGTAGACCACCGTTGGTTGTTAGTAGCTATGGTGGAATTCAAGGATTCATCCCGGTGTGAATATCTGGTCTACAGATCTATGCCCAGTGTGAAATCCGGCTTGATTGGGTCGTGTCCTAGAGTCACGCACAGACTGGAATCGTCTGAGAAAATTAATAGCGAAGATCTTCTCAACGATGTCGAGTAAGCTCATGCCGCGGTAGTTCTCGTATCTTGTTTCACCTCCCTATAGTTACGCACAAAAATGTCTGAGCCCCAGTCACCAAGACCGGCCTCGTCTCTCCACACCTATCTAACTACTTCATGGAGCCAAGGCGCCAGAGTGTCGACACAGGACCTATAGACCTCAGCGGGTATACCGTCCTCTCCAGGTGCCTTATTGTTGCGCAACCTTTTTCTATGGCATCGGCAATTTCTCCTTCAGACGGTTGGTCGCATGACACTGGATAAGTGAGGGAGAAAGAAAGAAAGAGGGGACCCCGCTGTAAATGGGAGTAGGTGGGTGCTGGGCTAAGTATCCAAATGGAAGTGCTCACACCAGAGGACGTAGGCTTCACGTCGGCGCAGCCTGCACCATTATTATATTAATCGCTAAAGGTTCAATTGGTTCTGAACGACCGTAATCGTTCGCCTAAGGGGCGGTGGGAGAGAAGAGAAAAGAGCCCAAGAACCATTAGAGTATTACTTCTATGTGACGTATATCTCTTAGGTTCGAGTCACGTCTTGTCGGCAGACGGTAATTATTTTGCCGGAAGCCTTTTACGCTAGTTGCTTGTCTTTTTAACTGATATCTTCGCGTCAGGTATCGATTAAGTAGAAGGAAGACTGCCCTCGTCTGGCGCGTTTTTCTTCTGGCTCCCGCCTGTGGTAATTTATGAGCTGCAATAACTTGTGCATTCGGGAGGAATGGCGCATTTGAATAACATGACAGTTAGTGCAGAGCCTGCTACGTCTATCAGTTGTGCATCGTTCTTTAGTTTGGGCACAGTGTCTGAAGGTGACGCCTCCATCTCGCCTTCATTAGTTCTGTGTTCAGACAAAATGCTAATTGGACAGGCTCATCTTCAAACACCTATGGGCTTTTCATATTCACTTTAATGAAGCGTGTCCGAGACTGTGTGCGGTCATTTTGCATTATTCGTTGTAGTCATATCTCGCGGGAAGTGTGTCCTTACTAAGACGTTTCGGTGGCTGTCTGCACAGGTTACCGGGTTTTATATGACCATGTCAGAGCCCATACCAACGTCGTCGAAAATAAGGACTTGTATCAGAAGATGTGATCCCTTGAACTCCTCTTTTCGCTTTCGACGGTCACAAGTTTTCTCCTGGGCCTCTAGAAAGACGAAATTTGAACGAATCTACGGCTCATCCTGCATAAAAAGATAAAACCTTACATCAGGTTCGACGGCTTTCTTCTGTACACTGGTAATGTACTGCTTGTTGGATGCATTGCATTTTCCGCCAAGTCATTTTTTATCGTCCACTAATGTTAGATCACATATTGAGACACGTCAGATTACTGTCATAAAATACCTCCTACGTACCATCGAGGTTTCGAGTTTCAGCACGTAGCACAAACACCGTGGTGTAGAGAATAGCACTATGAACAAACAAAAACAATCGCTGTTGCTACTTTTTTCAGCACGCAGGCGAAGCTTCACTATAGTCTTTGTTCTAGCGAGGGAGACATTTTTCGACGTTTGGATCTCCACTACGGCTCACACCGTAGCATTTTCATCAGAGAGGCAAGTAACCTCAAAATTGCACTGTGCCAACTCTAAGCAGTGGGCTAGTGTAGCGTGCTTTCGCCAATTCCAAATCATACACACAGTCTAGCGGTTCACATATTTACCACCCAGCCTACCGGCTCAAGTCCGAACACGTCGACTATCGTGAATGGCGTTGCACGAGTCTAGATCCGTGATTTAAAAGTATTCAAAGGTTTGACGCAACTTTGGTTTCCTAGTCATGACCGAATCTCCCGTCTGCACAGGAATTGCAGCAAGAATCTACCCAGTAGCGATACATCGTCAACACGGCATTTTAT